TTATTTACCTCCTGATCAATGTTATGAAGCATAGCTGGATTGTTATATTTTTCAGGATTATCGTGGAAACAGACCATACCATCTTTCTGATTAATACTTGCAAAAATTTCACCATCTTCTATCTGAAACGAGAGAGGGTTTAATACAAGTTATAGCTACGTATGGAATTGTACGTAGCTACAAGACACAGACAGCTTGTAAAGTCATCTTTATCTTGTTTGCTTTCTATTTCCTAGCAGTTTTCTGAAGACAAATGATGCATGCCTCATTTTAAGCAGAGAATCTCTTTTCACTCTGTTCTCAAAGTCTTAAAACCACAGCGGACTAACAGTACTTCCTTCACCCTGAAAAGGAGCCATTCCTCAGCCATTCATAACATTCACCACCAAAACACTTGAAAGCTCTTCATTTGGATCAATTTTTAAAATAGGATAGTTTAGCCCAGTAACAGGCCTTACCATGTGGAGGACGTATTTTTCTGCTTCTTGGGGTCCCGACAACTGCACTCGACTTGCCATATCTTGTAATGATAACGTAAGAAATGTCTGAAATTTAGATAAAGTACCAAATCATTAAAACCTGATTTTGAGAACCTTCCCTACCAAACCCTTAGGGCCAATATAACTTTTTTTTTAAATGTTTGACGTCTGATGCGAGCAGAACACGTAGTTACTACTTACAAAAGCACCAGAGAAGGAGAAATGACTTAATTCCCAAAGACAGTAATTTGTGCTCTGCATACATGTGCAGTATAAAACTAAGGGAGTCGTGACTCCATTTCTGCAATCCCTTCTTTCGCAGGGAACCATGTCCAACCTCTTCCCTCATCCTTCTACTTGAATAAGGCTTGTCCATTTCTTGAATTCACTTCAAGAGATGCATGTATTGCTTTACTTTAGACATGAGCTCCACTTCAGCAAACATCACTGAAATTAAGCTTTCTAAAAAAAAACAGCTTTCCCCTGATCATCTTTCAAGATTAGCCTCATCTCGCCAGCTGAAGCACCTTATCATTCCACTGCTTTTGTTTTTCCTTTACTTCAGACACTCCCCAAATTTGTCCCTTTCACTCCCTTTACTCTAATGAAGTAACCCGTAGAGTTCAGGTTTCCTATCTTCTGGAGAAAGATGAAGGTCATTGGGTAGCAGTGCTCATGACTTTTTTGGTTACCCAGGGAAGTTTTATGAGCTAAGTTCTCTCCTCTGAGCTAGCAAAACCACTAAATTAGATCAGCACCCTGCCACATGTACCACGGTTTGGAAGCTTCAGGACGAAGAGGAAGCAGACAAGCAGACATACACTTTCTGTTTAGATTAGAGGAGCTACCCACGGCAGTATCCAGATTGAACCACCTTTTAGATAATGGATAGGTAGTCAAATGAATTTGTTTTCTCTATAGAGCATTTTGAAAACTTACATCGCTGTTTCAGAGAGGTGATTTTAAGTTTTAGCCATTTCACTGTGAGATTATTACATTATCAGTCTCCTCTGATTTGAATCAATTTCCGAGAAGCACTGTTTGGGGAAGGCTAATCACTCAATTTCTCAGCAAAACAAAACCCGCACCTTACCTTGGTTAGCCTCTGAATGTTCTTTTTGTAAAGAGATGACAAGCATTGCTTAACCAGCCCCATATTGTTATCCCTTGTGAATGTTTCACTGTGTTTGTTCACCAGATTTCGAAGCTCCGAGGGTTTATTGGTTGAATAAACTTGCGCTAATTCATGGTAAGCATTGCTAAGGGGCTGCAATTAGAAATAACATGAATTTTCCTTAAAGCACATGGAGTTCAACCAGCCTTGCAAAATCTATTCACTATTTCAGTTTTTAAAAGGTCATGCAAGTATAAAAGTGAATTTAAGTAGCTCAAGTCTCTTTCAGAATATGTGAGGCCCACATAAAGTCTTTAAAGCACTGATTGATCTTTGTACATTCAGCCCATACTAGTGCAGTGTAAGAATTGGTAAAAAAAAAATTCAAGAACCTCTGCAGGACAGTGCTAGTTGTGGAATACTAGGAATAAGTCCATTAGTCGAGCATCATATGAAATAAACTGAATTTAGGATAATTATAATTCTGGCTAGTCACTGGCTAGCCATCTATTATGCTCGATTTACCCTCTAAGAGACTGTCATCTTGGACTACAGTGAACCACAGCACGGACAATACCAAAGCATAAGCAGAGGGTAAAGATTAATCCACCTAAATTACTTCAAAACGGCAGTTGGTGTGCTTGCATATTAGTATTCTAAGAAAGAAGAGGATTTTTGGAAACTTAAAGCTTTTGGTCACCAACCAGCCAATTCGGAGTTAATTAAAAACAAGCATGCTTTTAAAAAGTGGGTTATTTTCATAGGACCACAACTCTTCTGACAACTGTTTTGTCTTCCACCCTATACCTGATCAAAATCCTTACGGACTCCTAACTCAGTCTTTTCAGAAGCTTTTATTCTTTAGAAAGCTAGTTTTGGAAGAAACTCGATATACTTTAATTCTCTAATATTTTGGAACGAGCAGACTGTAGTTTTCTAAACAAAGTCTTCTCTGACCCATTCACAGCAAGCAAAACACTGAAAAGTAGAGAGTTCAAGTCCAAACCTCACGCCAGCAAGGACTGACAGAGAGAGATGTTCAAAGATCCTACTTCTCTCTCCATTACAACTCCCTCAACACGGTGAAAAACTGTTGGATTCTAAAAGTCATGCAACTCTGCTACACATACAATTGAAAACACTTGGAATACAGACAGTAATTAACACAAGTTCTGTTTCAGAACAAATTATTCAAAAACAAGCATGCAAAGTTTTATCTTAGGTTTGGGATTTCATTTTATTCACTCTCTCCACAAACTAATCAGTAGTGAAGGAAACAGGAAACTGCTTCCAATCCTTCTCCGTTTTGCTAGCATATAAACTCTGACTACTATTAATTCACTGCTGATCCTGAAAATGTGACGTATGAGATTTTACTTCTATTACAGCTCAGCACATGTAGTTCTAACTGCTCTCTCCAAAAGGTCAGTACAGCTTTCCTTTTGCAGATGGGGAAAGGACTGGAGCTGAGGAGAGGCAGGTAGATTTTTTTTTCGCCAGCAGTCACATGGAATAGTTGGCTTAAGCAGCATTTCCTAGAGCAGTTCACCAGCTACATATAGTATCAACTTTAGCTACATGAAGTTATGGTTGGACTTTTTTTTAGAACACAGGCACTGCGTATTGAAAGCCAAGTGAAACGTGAGTCTTGTTTGTGCTCTGAAAAGGTAAGAGTCTATCAATGCATAGGCACTATCAATGAACAAAATATTTATAATTGTGAAGTCTTTCCAATCCTAGAGTTTTCCCCAAATTAAGTTTAAAAACCCTGTATTGCCGATATGAACAACACAGCTTATGTCTGGGATAGACTTCAGAGTTGACGTACAGACAATCCTTAGCCATGCCTTTCACAGCCTAGAAAGGCAGTGAAAAGTGTCATTCTGGTGTGCTGTACATTTTCCATGGACCATAACATTAGATAGTACCATAAAGCAAGGGTACAAGAACTCTTGCCCACACGGATAACAAGTTCAGATTTCTTGTTCTATTATTTAGCTGTATTCACAAGACTTACCTTAATGAATCTACCAACTATCTGGGAAGTATATTTTGGTAGCTGTTGAACTTTGCCAAGTAGTATCAGAGAAACTAGAATATACTTTTTATATGACTCCAACATAATATGACTGACTGCCATGGCTGGAGTAGTTATTGCCTGAGCGAGAGAGAAAGAAACGAAACAGAAAATCAATATGCTTCCTGGTAGGTCCCAGTAGTTACTGTATTAGTAGAATCGCAGTTTAAAGCTGCATGTACAAAGAATACAATGACATAAGAAATTCACTTTCGAGCATTAAAGCCCAACTCTCTTCTGTCAAAATTAATTATCCAAAAACGTCTGTCCCCCTCCCCTCCCAAATTAATTTCTATACCAGCTATTCAAAACGCGTATCCTGCTACAATGAAGCCCATCTTAAAATAACCTTGCTAAGATCAAAGTAAAACTTTCTTCCTTGGTATGTGTCTAAAAACTGTACTAGAAATTACCTGCAATTACTTGTTACTAGGAATGACAATACAGAGCCTGTAGGAGCTGGACTTAAACAGAACCCTAAAGTTTTTAATATATATAGACTTGCTCACCTTTGTTTATAGAAAAGAAAAATGCTGCACCAGTTTGTTTAGTGCATTTGACAGCAATTTTTTCCCCGCTGAATTTTCCCAATTTCACGGTTGTTTTTTCTTTCACAGAGAAAGTACAAGCAGCAAATATTGCAAGCTTCCCTCAAAATTAGCAAAGGTCTCAGAAAACAAAACCACTCAACTCATTTTACTTGAAAACACACCATTCTGAACATCAGCCTGTGAACTGTTTCATATGTAAACAGTAATAAGCAGGCAATTGAAAAATATTTACAGTGAGATAAATTTAACATCAACCTTTCAGTTGGTGCAATTTTATGGTGCAATAGCTACTTGGCTATAAAGAGACCTTCTTAGAGGAAAAGATTTCTGAAGATAGCTTGTCATTATTTGTTACTTCACTTAAACTTAACGCACTTCAGAGAGAACTGTTCAGGCTACGCCTTCTGTAAGACAGCTTATAAATTAAAACTAACCCAAATCAGTTTATGTATAACTATGATGCACATCCGCAAAACCAATGCAAATGATGAATAGCAGCATAGATCTATTAACACAGCTATAACCTAAAAGGCGAAGAATGAAAGTAATAACTGGAGACTTCTTGTACTTCATACTAGGTACACCGCATTTGTTGCGGGTTTTGATGGCAATTCAGGGATGCTATGTTCTCTCAACGCTACCACACAAGCGATTTTTGCCCTTTAAATGATCACATTTCAAACTTACCGTTTTAATTTAACATTACCTGTTCATAAAAGTAGAGTGCTCTTTCAAAGTTCTTTAGCCCAGTGTATATCATCCCACCATAATAGTAGTAACATAAAAAGTGCTTCGCATCATATGCCCCATTCTCTTTACAAATATCCATCATGTCCACATCTAGATACGGGAGGGCAGGTTTAAAGCATTTTGCTAACAAACAGAGCTACAAGAAAACAAACCAAGTTTCCATAAATTAGCCATTTACGTTCAAGTTTTAACGAGGAAGAAGTTGAAACTAAATTCATTTAGTACTATTAAATAGATCTTGCACTGTATGCCAGTCATTGTGTAAAGCAGACTATTCATTATATCATGATATCTGAAGAACCCATAATTTATACCAGTGCACAGTCGGTATTATCTGAAGCCTAAAGAAATAGTACTCTGACAAAGCTACTTGAAACTGCAGGCCTTCCAGACTACTGTGCTGGCAGCACTAAATATTGCACTGAACATTCCCGTCCAAATTGGAATCCCAGGAGCCAAGAATGAGACAGAAGTGGCAAATTCAGGCCAAAGGCACTGAGACAAACATGCCTTCAGTCAAACTTGAGCAAACAGTATCTGGATGTTACACTTAAACCCTCTATGTCTAGACAGAGCTCTGTGCGACCTTCTCTCAGCTCAGAAAGAAGTGATGTCAAAGGACTTCCAGAAATTAAGAACAAAACAAGAGATCTGAGGACACGCACTGAACACTTAAAATAAACAGAAGGAGATTTTATGTCAGTATATCATATTATTTCTTACTGGAAAAAACAATTAAAAGCCATTTTTACATTGCTGTATGTAAACGTGCGCCTCCTTAAAAGGTTATGGGTATTTCAAAGCTGCTACTCACAGAATAAGCCCTAATATTACTCTTACCTGGCAGAGATCTGCATGTATTGAGGTCAGCTGGTTTGTGTTCATCTGCATCTTGTCTATGGCTTGTCTGAGAATGCTAATTCCTCGCAGGGGCTGTCAGAAATTACATCTCTTTCAGACAATTTCTCATAGATGGCAGCACATTGGATCTTATGTTGACACTTACAAATGAAAAATAACACTAATTGATAGGTTCCATTAAGTAACAGTTAACCTGAGGTTCCCTTTTTGTATGATACTGCAGTCTCAGAAAATAAAAGTAACCGTGGCTATATAACTTCTCCTGATAAACTAAATAAAGCAGCAATTCTTCTCCAAAAAGACTACCTCATCAGAAATACAGTAGTTTGTACTGATAGCAGACCATTTTCTTAACACCGTGACACCACGTGAAGTCCCATCAAAAGCAATAACTTCACTTAGAGCAGCCTTGATCTCTAATTTATTTCAGAGCAGATCTCAATGAAAACGTCCTGAAAAAGTCACATTTCTTAGCATCAAAATCATTACTCAGACTTTTTTAAACAAGTTTCCCTTACATCTTAAGGCCTTTAATTAAAGAACGCTATACAAGACTGATGGGGTAACATTGGAACTAGTAGCACTGACTCACCATTTTTGCAGCTCTCTCCTACTCACGTACGTATTATCTGAAGAACACTCTTGGCACTGCTGGTGTGTGCATGTGCGCATTTAAAATGATTCTCCCAACAAATTTTATCTTAAGTTTTTCCTTAAAATCTAGTTTTAAGTTCATTACTTTTTAGTAGACTTTTAAGAAGTAAGGAGCTGCATAAATATACTTAAAATGAAGTTATCGGCAAATCCGTATGAAGATATTAAGAGACTGGATATGTTAGTAGCTTATGCATGCTAGATGATACTTGCTCACCTGTTTTCTTTCCACAAGGGCATTTGTTAACTGGTGGCATAGACCAGCAACTGAATACAATTGGGGGGGGAAAAAAAAAAAAGTGAAAATCAAGAACACCAAAATACTTAAAGAGATTTGCATAGACTCTCAAAGCGAGATTAACTTACAAGTGTCTGTTGCATATCTAATGTGCTCCCCATTACAAGTGCTGATAAAAAGCTGCACCTGTGAGAATAACGTTTCGAAGTCAGGGATGCTGGGCATAGAAAACTTCACAAACCTAAAACAAGGCAGAAAAATAAAGAAAAGGTTTTAACACTTAATTTTTGGAGATAAATAAGAAAGCTTCATCTTCATCTTGTAAATCTCTGCAGATGCATGAAACTGCTTGGAAACAAACCCAAAGTGTGTAATACAGATGGCATATGATTTCCACTCCAGGACTACATACTTCATTTCATTAAAAACATTTAGGCCACATTACACATGGATGTCCCTAGGAGCTGCACAGTATTTAAAAACATGTTTTCAGCACACACCCCTACTTTGCATCTACTGAAAACTAGAATTAAGAACAAACTATGGCAAACACAAGAATGATTTTGTTTGGTACCATAGTTGCAATCATAATAAAAACACTGGCTAAAGATGATGAATTTTAATACTGAGCCACGCACAACTTCTCTAGACACCTTTGCCTAGATATCATCTCCTGCGTGAATGTGCTGGAGATTCCTCTACTATTAAATTATTAGACGTGCATCTCTTCAGAAGAGCTCTTGCTCTTCATTTCCAGTCTCTCTTCACGTCTGACGGATCTGTAGCGCTCTGTAGCCTGATGACTTGCTCATTGCTTTTTCTATAAGATTAGTTTTGACGATGCTCATCTGACTGCAACGAAATCTTTAGCTATGTCTCCTACAAAAGTCACAAAGACGTGCAGAAAGAAAAAAAAATAAATCTATTCAACGTTGTTGGAAGGTTTCCAATGCAATCCTACAGCAAATTCACTTGCTATGCATTGTAGTATGCAGCTCAAACCTACCTAGATCATGAACCATCCTTCCCCACAAGGGTAAGGACTGTCCTAGTTACGTACGGTCTCCCCTTCCCTGCCTCTTCAAAGTCTTGCTCTACTAATGTAGGGAGTTTTCCATGCCACAATTTCAGCTAGGAACAAACTTACCTGTATGCTTCACTAATATCATCTCTTCAAATACTACACGTTAAGCATTCTTTCTTATAGACAGTTATCTTCCTTCCTCCATCTGCTTTGATGACTGTTTTCATGTGCCCCATGATATAATTCTTCTGCTGATACAATATAGGTGCCCTGCTTTTTGTAAATTCCATGATGCATTTTTGCAAGATGCTAGTGAAGTAAAAGATGCTAGTGAAATATTTCACATATCTCTGTACACTACAGTCATTTTATTTCAAAGGTATAGTAGATCAAGAACCAGAATTCTGATTTTTCCTTTAATAGACTATTTTAAATAATAATAGAACCTGTAGACACTTCCCTTGCTGTTAGGTACAGCTGGAAAATACAGTTTGAGCTTCACAGTCAAATCTCCAAAAAACAAAAGAAGTGTCTTTACCTCACCTCAGCATCACCAAGGCGACTGAAGTATTATCTTAAACTGCAGACAGCACCAAGAACCTCAGTGCTGGCTGGAGACAAGTACCCAAGAATTAAGATAAGAAACCCATGCTTCCCTGGAAGAAAAGTTCTGCTTAATGCTTTCAGTCTGGCTCACTAATGTCCTGCCGATCAAATAT